GGGCCCACTGCAAAACAGTAAACGGTAGGCCCCAATTCCGGGCCCACTGCAAAACAGTAAACGGTAGGCCCCAATTCCAGGGGCCCGCCACTCCATCCATGGTTATGTGAAGTGCAGTCCGCACAGGACGGACTGCACTTCACTTTTCTATAGTAATAAAGATCCTGGCAGACAACTCTAATTTCAATACTCTGGGCACTTTTTCTCAGTTACCAAACAGAATCCAGTACGATATCAAATAATTAATTTCCATTCGATAATAAAGAAGAAAAAGCTGTAACCTGGATCGCATTGCTGGTAAAACTCTTCAACATCTGCAAACCACCAGCAAGCAAAAAATTAAATTAAATTAAATTAAATCCAAACACACTCAGAGGTCGATTACAAACCACAAGCAAGCAGTTACAGTCTTACAGAGCAAATCAAGAGAAAGCCGACACAACCAAAAAAAAAAAAAAAAAAACCTAAGACCAGTAAAACGAAAATTAGAATACAAAACGAAGAAGCAGGAGTGAGTGAATTACCCGTAGTAAGAGCTTTAATTATGGCGGCTCTACGGCCCTTGAAATCCGTAAAGACCTCCTCCACCGTACGAGGATTGTGAGCCGCACCTCCGTCCATCACCGTATATGAACGCCGGCGGTTAGGAGATCGAGAAGCGGACGCAGTGAGAAGAGCAAGAGAGGGTATAAGAGGAGGGAAAGATTGAAAAGCAAATATATTTGACCATCTGCGGGGAGATGTGAACTCTGCATCGGAATGAATTTGGAATTCTAAAATTAACTGGATTTGATAAAACTGGGAGAAGTCCGTGACCCGCTTTGAGGGGTTTTTCGGCCCATTCAAAACTCTTAAAAAAAATAAAAAAAATTAAAGGCTGAACCTCAAAAAAAGTCATGGCCTCTTGGGTTTCTTCCTGGCCCACTTGACTTTGACTCGTATTTAAGTGGGTCCCACACGTGAACCTCCTGTGTGAATGAAGTACCTAAAAGTCGAAAACTAAGTTTAAGGGCTAATTTGAAGAACAAAACTAAATTCAAG